TTTGAAAATGGCCACTAGTGGGAAGTTACACATAATTGTCAATAACTTCATAATAAAACATCTGATTTACTTATAATAAAAAAGTTATGTATATAACAACCAGATTAATTAGTTGAAACATTAAAACAGCAGAAAATGTTTTTATTTTATTTTTTTTATCCAAAGATGGAAGTGGGCTTAATGGGTATGTGGGCTTAATAGGTACGCTTACCGTAGGCATGTCTCTGATGGGATTTGAGAAATGCTGTGGACATGATTGTCTTTTATCTGCCGAGAGGGAGCTGAGCTGACAACTGAGAGAGAACAGCAGAACACTATATAGTGAAGAAGCCATTCTCATTGAATAACCATGAAATGAGAGCTCCGCCATCTTATTTTACACGTATTTATGTCTGAGGAATCTTCTAGAATTGCAGCATTGTAGAAGCATTGTTATATGTTGCACTTGGGACTGGAAGGAGGGAGTTGTTACCTGATAATGGGGAATCTCTGGTAAATTAATAATAGTCTCTGCAGGTATTGCAAAAGGTAAATTAGCATATTTTGTGGAGAGCAAATCTCAGGACAAATGTAATAAACTATTTTGTTTTCAAATCTGCTCCAGCACAGCAGAAAGCTTGCAAATTCCTTTATCAAAACATAACACCAATATTTATTAAATCTCACACTACATTCCACAATTATTAGATAACTCTTTACAGTATTCATAACAATCACAGCCGATGTAAAACAATAGGCACTATAGCCTAATAGATGAAAGTCTTTGTTGATTCATATCATTGCCACATAAGACCCTGTCAGGGGGAACCAACCAGATGTCAGATAAGAGGCAGAATGAGGTAGGTGTTGGCCTGACGCCACACAGCAAGTAGGAACAGCTCCTTACTTAGCTACAGATTGTTACACCAGATAATGTGATTTAACCAAAGCTTTTTGGTATCCATTACTGGGAGTTACAGATTAGGTATCTTCTAAAATGTCCGTGTCCAGTTGCAGATGGTGTGTTTGAATTTAGAAAATGTGTCGTTATTAAAATAAATAACTGTTTTGCCCCATAAAGTAATCCATCTTGTCTATTTCAAATCTTCTCTCATTGATTAAGTACTTCTATAAATAAGGACAACCCACCTGGTCCCGACAAACCTGGATGGTAAATTGCTGAGGTTGGTAATGGAATACATTGCGACTCCTGTTTGCCACATCTTCAATGTAAGCCTAGAAGACGGTGTGTGCCTTCAGGCCTGGAGGGAGGCAAAGGTCATTCTGCTGCCCAAGAATAGCAGAGCACCCTTTAATGCTTCAAACAACCAACCAATCAGCCTGTTACCTGTGCTTAGCAATCTGTAGCTACTCCTTACTATAAACTAGCCTACTGACATTATTATGGACAGCTCTTTGTCATGGTGGGCTATATTTTTGTTTGGCTTGTAGTCAAGTGCAGAGACAAGCAGTAGTTACTGAATAGAATATTACAGTATACATTTATTTTTCCTATGTATCCAACTGTAACTACATCTCATATTAGTAGCTGCCTGTTTAAGTTTGGACAATCCAGTCCAGAACAATTTGACAATAACTCTTAACTCCCAGTGGTAGAACCTCACCTTCCTGTCTAACAGTGGTGTGGAATAATGCCAAATGTTGATTTTCACATGGAAATACACATGCAAATTGGATACTGTATCCATTTGTGGATGCGAAAATGATACAATGTAACCTGTTGGCATTGACAACAATTAGCTTACACTGTATTGAACATTTGTTTTTGTAGGGGGTGGGGAGGGTGGCCACTGGCTACAGCTTTGACAGGCAATTTCGATCAGGGTGGAGATATAATTTATGTGTCCGTAAAAAATAAAAAATAAAGGGATTTCACAAATATTTCATATAGCTTAATGTCAAGCCTACTGCCAAAGTAAGACAGATAACCACTACAGTAGCCTTACCTTGCTTGACTCTTGTCTCCAGCCTCACTAGCCGCTTCGCATCAGTCGCAGCAAATAGCCTACCGACAACCGGTAGCTGCTGTAGAGAACTGCAACCAGCCAGTTTCTTTGGGATCCCTCAAGCGAAATTGCTCGCTACAGCTGACGTTACCATTAGCCTACTACCACAACAGAGTGAATAAATACGCTACACCGCCTAGCCAAATATAATGAACTGTAATGTCTATGGACCTTCTATTTCGAATAGTCTAATTCGGCCATAATATAAGGATAAATAGGTCTAAAGGCCAAATAGAACACTGTCTACATGTTCAGCCAACACGCGCCGCTCGGTAGTAGCCAATTCCACCGCCGCAGGTAACTTCAACCGAGCAACTACAGTGCAGGACCGGACTGATTCACAACACACAAAAGTAATATGTGCCACAGCTGCAGTAGCCTATGTATGGAGCGCTAGCACGCCTACCGGTGCAACCTCTGGTTGACCAGAGCAGTGCACAGCAAGCTAGAAGCCGATGCATAAATCATGAGAATGGGAGGCACTAATGTCTAAACCGGTCATAATTATTCAAGAGGGGACAAGGTCGATGTCAATCAAAAACCTCAGCCCATTCCCCCCAGGGTCAAAGCATTTGACATTTGATGTAAGAGAATTATGTTATAAAAATGGAAGGTCTGCAGGAGACTCACTCCAGGCTCCCTGTTTTATTTCTAAGTCTATAGGGAAGCCACAAGTCTATAAACTATAGCTTAATATATTTGCTATAAGGCCATCATAGGTCCTATAAATCATAGCCTACTGGTTCTTTCATGTCAGGATGGAAAAACAGCTTTAGTAGGCCTATTCTCTGGGGTGAGAGAAAGGTTAACACATTGATCATTTTCTGCTTAGAGGCTTCTATAGATAGAAGCATTGCTTATTGAACACTGTTGTTGTAAAAACATTACATCAGCATGACATGATGCATATGTCTACATACTGGTACTGTATGTCAAATAAATTATATAGAAATTATTATTTTGTTGTAATTCCAAATGTGATCTGTAGGTGTAACTGGTGCACATACCCTCATATAATGTCTCTGTGCTGTAGCCTCCACTGCAGTATGGCAGTGATAAATGCACCAGCCAGGTGTGTGCCCAGCACAGGGCTGCCGGTTTCAGTGTGTGGGGTTTTGACAGATTCTATGTCCCAAATGGCACCCTATTCCCTAAATAGTATACTAATTTTGACCAGAGCCCTATTGGCCCTGGTCAAAAGTAGTGCACTATGAAGGGCATAGGGTGCATTTGGAAAGCATACAGAGAGAGGCAGGAGGAGAGATTAATGAGGGTTAATTTTGATTTGGAGCGATCAGCAGAGTCATGCAGAGCTGAAGCATTGTTATGCCAGAGAGAGTGAAGTCTGGCCCCTGCATCCCCTACTAATCCACTGAAACTCCAGCACCTCTCTCTGACTGCATCCCAAATGGCACCCTCTTCCCTATTTAGTGAACTGTTTTTGAGCCCTGGTCAAAAGTAGTGTACTAAATAGAGAATAGGGTGCTATTGGGGATGAACCTCGCTCTCTATGCCAAAGCAAAGCCTCCCTCGCACACAGCAGCTCCACTGCACACATCACACACCTTCCCTCAGGTGCTACAGGCAGCTGTAATCCCTCACACCGCTCCGCTCTGCACTCAGATGTTGTGCTGCCTGTGAGGCTCCTGAAGAATCATGGGGTGCAGATTTCTCTATTCCTGTGAATATCTCCATAGCATATATACCATCTGCTACTGAAGTTGGGGTAGGCAGGCATATTCTCAGGCTGTAAGGTTAGCACAACAACAATTTGACATGCAGTTAATTTTCCATTAAATGGGCAATCAGCAGTAGCTACATGATATGTACCCATTGATTCTTGAAGAATATAACTTATAAATGCCTCATGAGCTTAGTTCAACTGTCATACCCCATCAGAATCCAAAATATAAGCTTATTTTACTCCAATGTTTGTAAACAAAGTAAATGTAAACAAACACTACATAGCCTCATAACATGGTTAAAACTATAATTTGATATCATGGATGGTCAGTCATTGCATCCATATCTCTGTCTATGAATTTGAGAGTGGTTACATTTATTCAGCCCCATCCCTCAGCTTTTTACCGGAAAAGGGGCGGGGAGACGCTAGTTGTTTCTACTGCTGATTGCAACTTTAAGAATTTTCAGTACTTTAGTTTTAGGCCTATTTGTGTTTGTATTGTATTGGGGTTGATAAGGCCTATGAATCTCATACACTGCATCAACAACTTCATGGAAACAGTAGCAGCATAGCAACCAGTTCCTAGGAAGAAGCAAAAGGCAGGCCCCTAAAGAGCTGACTTGGTTATTTGCCAAGTGAGCCATAACAAATCTATCCCCCAATGACTACCAACCATGGCAGTGTTTCTATGGTGACCATGTGGGGAGTGATGGAGCTGTAGTTTGGATGGGCTATGGGCATCCTATATTTACCATCATGAATGCACTCCGATCTCACCTGTTGTATAATTTTTGGGAGAGAAATGTCCAAGCACCATGGGCCTGGTGAAAGAAAAACATGCAAGCGCGCGACCCGACACGCCCATAAAACTCTACCTGAAGTTTTGAGAGCTTGCCTCATCTCTATGGAGACAAAGAGTCGCGTCAGAGGTAAAAACGCAGAAGTTGGGGAAGTAGCTAGCTACGTTAGCTTTCTAGTAGCTCACTGACTGACTGAAAATTGATTCGATTGAATAGTAAGAGATTATAATAATTGAGATATTCTGTAACTAGTTAAAATGTTAACAGAATGGTAGGGCATTTGCTTAAGCATCTGCCACCACAATTCGACCGATCCACCGGTCTTAGCTACCTATTATATAACCAGCTAAGTAATATGTTACATTATTATGGTGACGAATACGCCAACGAGCTAACTAGCTAATGTTTTGATATGTAAAATTGCTCCGTGTGTAATGTTATCAATCAATAAACTTTACTTCAAATATTGACCATCTGTAACATTGTATGTCAGGAGTCTTCGTCCACATAATGTACAGCTGGGAAAGACGCGCAGCTGAGAACCTTACTAATGCTGAACACATGCGTGAGGTGAGGAAGAGGATAGACCTTAAATATCAGGTAAGCTATGTTCCAAAGAGGTAGTCCTAAATCTTGTACATTAGTAGTTCTTAAATAATTTCAATGACATGAAGGTTTACAGGGCATAGACAATTGTATGCATGGATGTTGTTCAAGTATGACAGCAACTGAAAACAATGGTAGCCTATTGTGTAGAGATTATAGCTGAATGAAAGTGATGGTAATGAGGGTGATTATATGGAAATGAAGGTAATTATGTTGCAGGACCACCTACGCAGACGGGAACAGGAAAGGGCAGACGCAGAGGTGAGGAGGGAAATACACAGAGTACGGCCACCATCATCAACACCTCAGACAAATAGGTTCAAAGCCTGCACGTATGAAAGACCATGGGCACAGGGAGCGCCAGACACCAAGAAGGTATTAACTCTTCACACTTCTACAGTTTTACAAGTGCCACATAACATTGGCTATACATGTCATTGAAACAACATTGGTCCCGTGTAGCTCAGTTGGTAGAGCATGGTGCTAAAGTAAAATGTAAACATCTCTACAGTTCATTGGTTGAGACTGTAGCCTACTTTCCACTTTATCCATCCTCTAATAGTTTCTCTAAACCTTGTCTTACTGCCTGCAGTCCTCCAGCTCTGTGAAATCCACCAGATCAGAGACGAGAAACTCACAGAACAAAGGCTCAGTGTACCGCCTCCCTGCCATCTCCAGCGGAACCCAGAGAAGTGTAACCCAAAGTAGAACAACAGAACTGGCAACCACATCAAAGACTCGGAGAAGAGCCACTGCCCTACTGGCATCCCACTGTAAGATTCTCACAATGCATTCTCTGCTACATCCTCTTAGACCAGGGTTTCCCAAACTCGGTCCCCTCCGGGTGCACGTTAATTTTTTTGCCCTAGCACTACACAGCTGATTCAATAAATCAAAGCTTGATGAATCAGCTGTGTAGTGCTAGGGCAAAAACCAAAACGCCCCAGGACCGAGTTTGGGAAACCCTGTCTTAGACAACTGACTTCCCTCAGCAGTGGTTATGGGGGGTCCAATGACTCCATTTACATTACATTTGTTACCAGATTGTTATACTTTCTTCTTTATGCTTTTTTAAAGGTAAGGAACAATCTCCACCATGTCACAAACACAGATCTGTGGACATAAAAAACAGAGCCTGTAAGTTATCCACATGTGCAACTAAGTCAAGCACTCTGAAACTAACACAAAGTCAAGACACATTGAGGGGGAAGAGCAAGATGGGAGCGCCATCATTTGACCATGCAGATAGTTCAAACATCCAGGTCAAGAGGCCATTAGACAACTGCTCCCACCCACAGCCCCTGACCTCTTCTGGAAGGTCCTACACAGATTTGTCCCATCTCCCCTCACTGCAGTACCACCGCTCCCCCAGCCCAGACGACCCAGAGCCCCATCCCTATCTCCAGCTGATCTCGGATCCCTTCCAGGACTTCTCAGAGAGCAGTAGTATCACAGAGGAGTACGTACGCAGTGAGGACACCTACAGGGCTGAGCTCTGCTCCGGGAGTTTAGCTGATACCAGTTCTTCGTCCGTACCGGAGTCCCTCCCCACGCAGTGCCCCTCCAGCAGTGGCACCCTGGACAGCAGCTCTCTCAGCCTCAGTGACTCCTTCACCGGCCCCCTCAGCAGCCACTTCCGCACGCTGGGTGTTCTGTCCTCCGAGTCTGAGTCGGACGGGGAAGACGACGGCCATTCATGGCAGGATGCTGATAGAGAGAGCTACTACATCCCTGTGAGGTGGACTGCCTCTCAGTCTAGTTCAAATTACGTCATCTGCCCGTCTCCCAGTGTCTGTACCGTCCGGAGTCCCCGGGGCCTGCAGTCCCAGCTGAGTATGGAGTCAACAAACACCCCTGAAGAATCAAGCAGTAGAGCTTCATACACTGGAGGAGGATATAATCCCATGCCTTCACTGATGCAAGTAGGTCGACTGTCCATATCACCGTTGTCCATATCACCCTCTGTCACACAGAGAGCCAGCAGGGGGACTCTCACTACCCCAGAGCAGCTGTATGAACACCTCCCTGAGCTGGATCACCTCAGCTCCCTCAGCCCCAGGAGAGCTAACCCCATCTGGCTGGGCTCAGAGAGATGGCTGGGGCTGGAGGCCTCACCACCCAGGACCAGCTACACCCTGAGGCACTCCCAGCTGGTCAGCAGGATCCAGCAGGAGGAACCAGAGGAGGTCAGAGGGGCCAGTAGTAGTGACGGTAGTACAGAGGATACTCCGTCCTCCAGCGAAGCCTCGCACCCTGGGACCTCTGGGCTGATGGATCACCTGACCATGGCCCTCCATGACATCCGAAGGGAGGTGGCTCACATTCATATGACAAACGCACAGCAGGGGAGCGGTGCTATGGCAGCTCAGGAGGGCCAATCAGCACCGGCTACCAACCCAGAGACGTTACGCAAAATCAAAGAACGGTGAGAGGAGCTTGAGAATGGGACAAGTACTCAGTCCTTCTGTTCTTGTCATTATGTCAGATGAGTATCATCTCTAAATATAGTTACTCGTCCCTTGATAATGTTTGGCATTCACATTTATTTTGCTTACAGGTATTTTATACAGATGTAGGATCTTAATTTGACCTACACTGAGTGTACTAAACATGAAAAACACCTTTTATAAAGTAGCATGAAATCATCCTATATTCTTCATCTCATTTGTAATCTTCTAACCTCCACAGTCTGTTGGAGGAGTCGTGTGATGAGGAGGAAGGGGACCAGTGTCGTATCTGTCAGTGTGGTGCTGGCTCCCCCACCAACCCCCTGCTCACCCCCTGTCTCTGCTCCGGCAGCCTGCAGTACATCCACCACGACTGCCTGAAGAGGTGGATCCAGACTAAAATACAGTCAGGTCAGTTTGAGTTTAATGACTGATTGAATTGTTGAAATGAATCATGATGGTCTGGCTCTGAACTGACCGAAGGAATGAAGTGTGTGTTTGTGTGTGTTTCCAGGGACCACACTGTCTGCGGTCAAAACCTGTGAGTTGTGTAAGGGGAGCTTAACACTGGATCTGGACGACTTTGACATGGAGGAGTTTTACCAAAGGCATGCCCAGACACAGGTACACATCCCTTCTTTTGCATATCCCTATAGCATACTACCCAGCTGTCCAATAACTGTATCAGTCGGTTGTTGTGACTAACAATTCCGCTAGATGGGCCAGCTGCGAAGTCAAAATTGGATATATTGTAAAAATTCATCAAAATCAAAATGAGCTTTTAGCTCTTAATTTGACGTTAGGCATTTGGGTTAGCCGTGTGGTTATGGTTAATGTTAGGGTTAAAATCAGATTTTATGACTTTGTGGCTGTGCCGGCTATTGACCACTCCGCAGAGCTGCCTCCAGTACAAGATGAATGACGGAAAACGCTAACCTGCTGTGTGATATGTATGGCATGCTAGTAGGAGGAAATATTAGTAGGTTGTTTATCTCATCCATATTCTCTTTTCCCCTCCTCTGACTTCCCTGCCGTCCCAGGTGGAGCAGACCAGTCCAGAGCTGTACATGTTGCTGATCCTTCAGCAGAGGTTCTCAGAGCTGCTGCAGGCGGCCCAGTCACGTAGCAACGTCGTCTCTAGGGTAGGGAGGAACTGTTTCATGGTGATGGTGCTCATGCAGTGAGGGACTAACGTCCTGTTCCCCAATGGTGCAGATTACTCCACTGCTATCCATTTATACATACAGTATCACAAGTTAATGTTGTTGTTACTCCTTCAGAAAGTAGATAGACTTTAAAAGATACAGGCTAAGGTGAGGTATATTAGTGAGAGAGAGGGATTTAAAACTAAATGACACACTAGGCTAACTCTAAATAATGCAGTATAACTAATTGGTACATTCATGATTATCTGTTACAGTATGAGATAGATTGAAGGTCAGAAATGTTTCTTTATCTTAGATGGCTACCAGACTGTACCTGATTCAGAGAACAGCAGCGGCTAACAGTAGGTGACAACAGTGTTGATCATTTGTTGACAGAAATACTGTACAAATCTAAATGGATCAACACTTGATAGCCAGAGCTCTTATATTGAGTTGTCTGCAATTTACTAAATAATTGTCATCTTTGTCAAATGGATTTGAGGAGTAAATCTGATTTTAAATAATTCGATTTTAAAGATTGTTAGGTTTAAAGGACAACTTTGATTGAAGAATGATTGGTCAATAGAACATGTGTTTACAGGCCTTTTATTGGGGGTTTTTTATATCGAAAAATGTAGATGTTTGATTGTCACATACACCGGATAGTTGCAGTGAAATGTGTCACATTCTCTGAATAGCTATCTCCAGTTGAAAAACAGCAGTTGACTGGTTGTCTTTAGCTCAGCTGGTAGAGCACAGCACTTGTAACGCCAAGGTAGTGGGTTCGATCCCCGGGACCACCCATACACAAAAAAAATAAAAATATGCACGCATGACTGTAAGTCGCTTTGGATAAAAGCGTCTGCTAAATGGCATATTATTATTATTATTATTGATTCTCCATCAGGTTTGGAGGCTTCCTCTTCTTCCCCACACACTGAGGGTGAGAGCCAGCAGAGGGAGCCAGAGAGGCAATCACATGCCAGAGACACCTGACCCACCCACCTGACCTTCACCCCTCTTCCTTCCTGTTTTTAAATCCTGGGTGAAGTGATCTTAATGATTAATTTATTCTAACTTATTTCATGAAATGATTTTAACACACAATGCAGTGCATCTTGTTCAATGGTTCCATCTGGACAGAGGAGAAATAAACTTGACTGAGGTAGTGGATGTAATAAATATATTTATTACTTTCTATTTAAGTGAAATTAATTACTTATTACACTATTTATTACATTTTTATTATTAGGATTTTAACAGCAACTTTGCTTTTATATTGCACACTGTGACATTTAACAGAAATTACTTGATAGATGGAAGAAGGCTCTTTAATGCTGCTAATTGTTGAACAGTAAACAGAGATAAACATCCAGCAAATATAAATTAAATTCTTAAAGAAATCAACTACACAGTCAAAATCAGAGAGCTAGTTTTTATATCAGATGTTTGGTGTGAACCTTCTGTGAATCTTTTTACATACAGACACTGTAGTTTTACTGTACTGTTTTACTGTTTGTCTCAAAGGCTTTCTTTCTTTAATAACTTCCTGGAACCTGTAGCTGAGGAAACTTTGTTCATTGTCATGTTTCAAACCAACTTAAAACAAATTAGCGTAAATAAAATCTTTCAATCAATGAGTGTGTTGTTCGGACTCGACTCAAGTTGCGGTGACCATGGGAGAGTTGTTCTTGGTAATGTGCATCAGTGTAATGTGTGTGAAATCACTGATGCTCTTCACTGAGATCCCTGTGATGTGACTCAGCTCCTCCACTACCTGGTGATCAATGGTTGGATCATTACTAGTTCACTGAGCAGCATGCACTGTAGTAACCAAACACTTGTTTTCAGCTAAAGGTTCTAATCCAACTTCAACATAATAGCTTAAACCTTACTAAGTATGGAAGAAATACAAGTTTAAAATAATAATAATAATATGACTGTTTACAAGAAGGATATTATTATAGTATCTAATCACCTGTTCCCAGTTAGTGACATTGAGGATGTATGAGCCCACAGCAATGACACCAACACCAAGGAGCATGCAGTCTTCAGTCACCGACACAAAAGTCTTTCTGTTGGTTTTCACAGGGGACACATGCTTATTTATGGCTGTTACACTGCTGTTAACTAAACATACACAGCCTACTGTTCCTAACATTGAGAAAGGAAAACTACGGCTGCCAATGTCCCTGGTCAAAAGTAGTTCACTATAGGGAATAGGGTGCCTTTTGGGATGCAGCCTACCTCTGTTCGTCAGATGGGCTCAGGCACTGAGTGGTGGCCATGAGCAGGGAGTCATAGATGGCTGTCCTCTGGAGGTAGGTGAACTGGAGCACGTATCTGCAGAGGTGATGCAGGTGCTCCACAGGGATAGAAGAGTCATTGTACCCTGTAGGATATGGTGTGTAGTGAATAAATAGTTAGTTGCATACCGGTAACCCCAAGAGGCATTTTACTGTATAAACCTTTTACTGCAGTGGGCTAAATCAGGGTCACAGAGGGATTCTTGGTAGTCTTAAACAAATCTACTTTGAAACAAAAGTATACACCCCACACACATGGTTATGGGATAAACAAACTAAGACACCTGTATCATGTCAGATATATCTATTTTTATTTCACCTTTATTTAACCAGGTAAGCCAGTTGAGAACAAGTTCTCATTTACAACTGCGACCTGGCCAAGATAAAGCAAAGCAGTGCGATAAAAACAACAAAAACACAGAGTTACATATGGGGTAAAACAAAACATAAAGTCAAAAAATACAACAGAAAATATATATACAGTGTGTGTAAATGTAACAAGTTATGGAGGTAAGGCAATAAATAGGCTATAGTGCAAAATAATTACAAATAGTATTAACACTGGAATGAGATGTGCAAGAGATTATGTGCAAATAGAGATACTGGGGTGCAAATGAGCAAAATAAATAACAATATAGGGATGAGGTAGTTGGGTGGGCTAATTTCAGATGGGCTGTGTACAGGTGCAGTGATCGGTAAGGTGCTCTGACAACTGATGCTTAAAGTTAGTGAGGGAGATAAGAGTCTCCAGCTTCAGAGATTTTTGCAATTCGTTCCAGTCATTGGCAGCAGAGAACTGGAAGGAATGGTGGCCAAAGGAGGTGTTGGCTTTGGGGATGACCAGTGAGATATACCTGCTGGAGCGCATACTACGGGTGGGTGTTGCTATGGTGACCAATGAGCTAAGATAAGGCGGGGATTTGCCTAGCAGTGATTTATAGATGGCCTGGAGCCAGTGGGTTTGACGACGAACATGTAATGAGGACCAGCCAACAAGAGCGTACAGGTCACAGTGGTGGGTAGTGTATGGGGCTTTGGAGACAAAACAGATGGCACTGTGATAGACTACATCCAATTTTCTGAGTAGAGTGTTGGAGGCTATTTTGTAAATGACATCGCCTAGTCAAGGATCGGTAGGATAGTCAGTTTTACGAGGGCATGTTTGGCAGCATGAGTGAAGGTGGCTTTGTTGCGAAATAGGAAGCCGATTCTGGATTTAACTTTGGATTGGAGATTCTTAATGTGAGTCTGGAAGGAGAGTTTACAGTCTAACCAGACACCTAGGTATTTGTAGTTGTCCACATACTCTAGGTCTGACCCGTCGAGAGTAGTGATTCTAGTCGGGTGGGCGGGTGCCAGCAGTGTTCGATTGAAGAGCATGCATTTAGTTTTACTAGTGTTTAAGAGCAGTTGGAGGCTACTGAAGGAGTGTTGTATGGCATTGAAGCTCGTTTGGAGGTTTGTTAACACAGTGTCCAATGAAGGGCCAGATGTATACAAAATGGTGTCGTCTGCGTAGAGGTGGATCTGAGAGTCACCAGCAGCAAGAGCGACATCATTGATATACACAGAGAAAAGAGTCGGCCCAAGAATTGAACCCTGTGGCACCCCCATAGAGACTGCCATAGGTCCAGACAACAGGCCCTCCGATTTGACACATTGAACTCTATCTGAGAAGTAGTTGGTGAACCAGGCGAGGCAGTCATTTGAGAAACCAAGGCTATTTAGTCTGCCAATAAGAATGCGGTGGTTGACATAGTCGAAAGCCTTGGCCAGGTCGATGAAGACGGCTGCACAGTACTGTCTATTATCGATCGCGGTTATAATATCGTTTAGGACCTTGAGTGTGGCTGAAGTGCACCCATGACCAGCTCGGAAACCGGATTGCATAGCGGAGAAGGTACGGTGGGATTCGAAATGGTCGGTGATCTGTTTGTTAACTTGGCTTTCAAAAACTTTCAAAAGGCAGGGCAGGATGGATATAGGTCTGTAACAGTTTGGATCTAGAGTGTCACCCCCTTTGAAGAGGGGGATGACCGCGGCAGCTTTCCAATCTCTGGGGATCTCAGACGTTACGAAAGAGAGGTTGAACAGGCTAGTAATAGGGGTTGCGACAATTTCGGCAGCTAGTTTTAGAAAGAGCTGAAATGTATTAAACTGTGAGTTTGCATCCCAATATTACACTTTATATACATCACTGAAGACTGAAATAACAAAACTGTTTGACATAGAAACATCAGATTTATCTTTTTTTTTTTTTTTTTATATAATCTTTTTTAATTATGAAATTATGAAAAATATGAATAACATTCTGACCATGAGGCGCAAAGAGGGCGCTTTTGGTCATTGACTGCAGGAAAGGAGTACTACAGGCCTAATTGTAATGTAGCCTCTCATTACAGCAAAGTGTAATGTCTCTTGTTGGTTGTAAATAACTATTGACTATTATTATGGTTATCCTAAGGACTACAGAATGTGAAAGACTTACCAAGCACCTCCAGGAGTATCTCCACATAAGTCAGAGGGTTGGGGGTGTTTAGCCTGAAGTCAAGTGCTTTCAAGATCATCAGCTCCATGTCCATGATAGTTTGTTTGGAGACGCTGTGGCCCATCGAGTGAAGAAACTGCACTGCTGTGTTGTTGTCAACCACCTAGTAAAGTAAAAGGTGAGAAATGTATTATTGACATTATAAATGGTGGTACAAATGGTTATCTACAGTTGATAATGAAAAAGTTTCCCAAAACTCACAGCACTGTGCAAAGACAGTTTGCTTGCTATTTGCACACAAGAGAGGAGAATGAGATGGAACTTCTCACTCAGTTTCTCATAAACAAGGTCCTCGTAATTTCCTTTATGGACACCTGCAGGTGTGTGTGTTGTTGAAAACAGATCCTCCAGGTGCTTTATCGTAAACCTGTTAGCAGAAGATACTCATTACATTGGTCTTACTTTTAATCACATTGGCAGATAACTTAAAGTTCCTATTTGGAAATCATGAATCCTACCTTTCAAGTAACTCAACGGCATGATATCCAACCAAGGGGTCAAGTCTTAACTCTTCGGTGACTAGGAAAACGCATTCTGTGGAAAACAGAGCCAGAGGTTTTAGGCCTATTCAGATTGGATTTCATGGCCTAGTCCTACGGTTGAAGTCTGGAGATGTTTTAGCTAGTTTATTGTGGTAACGTTCGAGCATGGCACTTGCAACGCCAGGGTCGTGGGTTCATTCCCATAAGTCGCTTTGGATAAAAGTTTAAGATAAATAGCATACTGTAGCTATATATATTGTACAGGGGGGATATTGCTTATAACGTTATTGTCGACGCTTCTGTTACTTGCTACTGTGTAGCCGAATAACTTAGTCCAACCGAAGCTAACATAGTTAGCTAGCTTCAATATGAAAAATCCGACTCATCTCTTCTGTTTAAGTTGTTCATCAGTCGATCAGAAAATCGTCAAAATAATATCACATAATTTATAGCTAGTGGGTCCGTGTGCTTATGGATAATTCCTATTTACTTTCATCTCGACTCTAGTGGCATCTGTTTTTTTTTTTATATTTGATATTAGATCAGTTTGGTCAACCTGTCACAGGTTACATGTGAACCCGAAATAACGTCATGTAACGTAACTTCAGCCTAAACAAATGTGGTGCCATTCGCATCTCCGGTGGCGTGATCGCGCAAGGCCCGTTACCAAAGCACAGAGAACAATGAGATATTTGACCAAAGTCACGAACAACCGTTAGCCAGCAGCGAGCTAAAAACTTACCTATCAACCTTTTGTCTTTAAAATCCCCACTGTAACTTGATAAATTGCTCAGTTTGTCTTTGTTTCTGATATTGAGATTGTTGAGAAAGTCTGATAAAATCTCAAAAGAAGCTTCACCAAACTTTAGGTTTTTGCTTTGGCTCGGAGAGAATGGAAATCTCTTCGCCATAGCTACTAGATAACCAGACAGCTTGAGCTTGCTTATACACGTAAAACAATGTATTGAAATGGAAATAAAATGGCAAGATTTAAAAAAAAACTTCAGATTTCGTTGTCCGCGGAGTTAATTTTAGGAAATGCAGTACTTTATTTTGCCATGAGATGGCGATTGCCACACAAAAAACCGCGATTTTTTTCGGGTCGAAACCGGAAATGTCTGGGGGAGCTATTATAGTGTTGCACAAGCAGATCAAGTTTGTTGTAAAAATGGCTGACCAGAAACCGACAGTGGATCCCGCAGTCCCTTTTGCCAAGAGGATAGATCCAAACAAGGAGGATCTTACCAGGGACGAATTCTACTTTATCAGACAAGTGGAGCTCGCGCAATGGAAGAAAAAATCGCAGCAACTCAGGGGCCGTAATATTGCAACAGGACTTGCTATCGGAGCCATTGTAATGGGTATTTGTATCCTTGCCAAACTCAGTCACGAAAGGTGAACCGCGTAACATATGAGCTAATTTGCCCTAAACGGCATGATATAGCGAGCCATTGTAATGTTGCCATAACTATTAGCAGTTAAAGTCAACCAGACATTATTCATTTATGTCCTTGAAGCTGCAAGTCATTGTAGAAAGGTTATGAAATTCATGTTGTAGTGGTGAAGAACAGCATGACATGTGTTTGCATAACAGCCATGTACTGTAGCAAGCGAGTTAGTTAATTGAATAACTAGGTAACGTTAGCTAGTAGCCAAACAAGGATCTAACTAGAGTTAACTAAGTAGCTCTCTCAGCATGTCACTTTATTGCAAGTTACTACAGTGAACGCTGGTGATGAGTGTAATACATGTCTGCCATAAATGTATGTTGATGTTGAAAACGTTAATCCTTGTGCTTATGTAGTAAAGCTCGACTATAGCTTCTTACCCAGCACATTCCTCTGTCAGCACATTTGCCTTGACTTTGCTCCTCCTAGATGGCTACACGTTTTACTCAGTGAAACAGGAGAAGATCATGGATGAGCTGGATGAGGAGGCCAAGGTCGCGAGGATGAGGGGTGTAAAGACAGGCGCCAACTGACGTGGCGATCAGATGGACTGAGCTCAGATCGACTGTGTGGTGTGCCACCGATCCTATCGCCTGTAGGCCTACATGCACTGGAAGGGACTAATGCTGACAAATGCTGGTACTACATATTATTCCACTGCTAGCCAATGTCAAGGCAGCATCGGACCCTGTTTTGCCCTGGATATGTAGACATTTACGTGGTTGTGTTGCTGACTTAAGTGTCTTCATTGTGATTAAACATGCTTGTCAATATAATTAATTATCTACTGCCCCCTATTACCCCTTCCCATTTCAGGATCCTGAGTCTTGTTAAATTAGCACCAAGAGGACTGAAACAGGAGGGACTTGTCCATTTTAAATGGTTTCTGTTAAGTGCCCCAATGAACATTACCCTATTCTCCTTCCTTTTCTTCCCAGCGATTAGGCACTTATTTCTATTCCCTTCAAATCAGCATCAAATGATTTCTCCCAAAACTCTATAAAACTAATTCAACTAAATGTCTATCAATAATGTTAATTCTACAGTGGCCTTGAAATAGGTGGGATTAGAATTGGAACCACTGAACTGAGACAAAGAAACACATATTTATATTGAAATATATTTATGTTGATAAAGGATTGAGTTGTAAAAATTGTATTATGTATTTGTTTTTTCACAACACAATAAATTACATCTTATTGCAAGGTCAGTGTAATGTTTCATGCACTGATATTGCCACAATAGTACTGAAGTGGAGAGGAACACTATCATTATTTCAATTGTATTTATGTCAAAATATGATTTATGTTGTAGCCACAGAGTAAAAATATAAAATAAGACATTGCAAGGGAAAGGCACAGATTGAGCATGGCAGGACAGCAGCTTTGCACATCAAAGCAATACAATCAACCAAGAATCATAAATACATTCAAAAATGTGGATTGTGATCACATTTTCTTTCTTTAAATATAAATCTTATAAGTATCATATGCAATAGAATTCAGTGTGTGTATTTAAGGCAATGGCTTAATCCATTTGTTAGGGTAGTTGTACTCTCCCCTACTTGAGCATATAAATATGCTACTTAATTTACCAAAAAGTGTGAAATGAGTTACTACTAAAGTAGAATTTACTAAAGTGCATAGGGTGCCTGGTTTATTACGCATTGCAGCAAGGTTTATCATTGTCAATGTGTTTGTGCAAGAAAAGTAGCTTGCCAAAATGTCTTTGATTAATTTGTAAACATAATTTACAAATGCATTATTTCATATTTACACATTTCCAATCATGGTGAGAACCAGTAGTCTAGACCTATGTCTGTATGTTTGATTCTTTTTGGAGAAAATATAATCTCAGCTAAAAAGTCAGGAGTTGCATCAACCATGAATAGCCAAGTTGTTTTAAATCGATGTGGCTGATTTGGCAGTACCTCCACTTGATTTGTTTTTTAAAAGGAGTAGTTTGAGTCTTAGGTAATCCTCATTTATAGAGCTGTATTGTGCCTAGCTTCCTATACTGTCTAACCTTTTTATATTCCATATGAACACATATCATAATGTGATATTCAGAAAATTATTTAAGGTACTGCCTAACGTTAGAAAACAATGTTCACATCTTTCTACACGTTGACAACAGTCGTCCTTCATAATGCTGTTGAATTAATCAGAAATATTGCATCACTATTGTACATTGGAAAACAGGCAGAACCACAACAACATATCTGGACTTCTGTAGTCAGACTCTAGAGGGCAGTAGCGCGCTACAGTCAGCATCAACAGATTGCAAACAGACAGTCAAACATTTTATATTTTAGTCAATTAGCAGACACTCTTATCCAGAGCGACTTACAGTTAGTGAGTGCATACATTTTTCATACTGCAAAGAATAGAGTGAACAATATGAAACACTGTTTTTGGAGAACCATCAGCGAGAGTTATTGAGCTTCATCTCACTCCACTGTGCTCACAATAAAAATGTCCACGACAGTCAGATAAGCAGGAAAATATTGATCAACTGCCCCGGCCTCGATCCTATGATCCTAATATTGTAGATGGAACAACCCTTACTGCTCTGTGGCTACAAGGCAGGACTACAGCTGATCATTAAGGCTCTATGTACAATGATCACACATGTTTCTCGCTAACATTGCATAGTATGAAGAATGATGGTGCACTACTTGGGCTAGTACTGTTGTGAGCCTTTTATACTCATTAGCTGAGGATTAGGCAGTTTTTAAACTTTTGACCATCTCAATTTAAACACTGTTCTGGTGGCGTTCTAGAGCAGGGGTAGGTTGCACTGAACCGTTGAATCTGGCAAGCTTCTCTTTGGGGTGACTGACAGCGGATGACAGAGGTTCCGTTCTCCCTTCATAGCAGAGGGCTCAGTGACCTCTGACGGACCTGCGACCTATGATTAACCCTGTGACTATTGGATCAGCAGAGAAGGTTCCTGGTTTCTGGGGGATCTAGGTTACTCTCCTCCAATGGGGGACCAGATAAAGGGTTTAGAGGTGATGTCACTTCTTTCCTCCAGCAGGATGGGCATGATCACTTCAGTCACATCTTAGATGAGGTAGTCTGGGCTTATTCTACAGCAAGCATGGCTGAAGATTCTTACTGGTGAGAGAGGAGACAAGGAGATGCAATGATTAAATGTGTAGAGCATCGTGCATGGCACATTATGTTTTCCAGATAAACTTTGATTTTAGACAGCAAAATAAATGTAAGACATGGGTCGTGATTCAATCAGAGGCGCGTTGTAGACAAGCGCATTGCACTACCGACAACACACCTTTGATTGAATCGTTACCATGCTCTGTGTACAGTAAATAAAGACATAATGAGATAACTCTTACCATTCTACTGACATCGGAAGCAAAGGTCACCCCTTTAGAGGGCTTCTCCAGAGAGCTGCTGCTGCTGCCACCCAGAGAGTTCCTCCTGATTATACTTTGGAGGGGGAGCATGTCCAGGCGCTGCAGGCTGTTTCTGCGGGAGGAGGAGGGGTAACTCCTCTCCTTAGAGAGACGGCGTTGGCGACTGGACAGCATGGCGGCAGGAGAGACGATCCCCGCAGGGGGAACCTTCCCCATCCTCTCATACAGCTCCTCAATCTCCCTCTTCTGGGTGGCCTGGAGACTCTGCACCTGTGCCAAGTGTCTGAGAGAGAGAAAGAGAGAGAAAGAAAGAGAGGGAGAGAAATAATGAGAAACAGATAGGTGAGATCTGAGGAGGACTTGTTTAAGTGATTTGAAATAGTTGAGTTGCAAGTTGAGTTCAAAGTAATCAAACGTAAAACCCTTTTCCGATCTCGAATGAAAATGGGTGAATGACTGGAGAGATGCTGAAGGTGAAACTCACTTCTCCCTCATCTCCTGCAGCTCCTCCCACAAGTCCTCGTCCTCGCTCTCTGAGTCGTCACTGCTCAGGTATGTGAAGTTGCGGCTGTAGCTCAGCCACAGGTGGTGCAGGGCCGAGTTGTAGGTGGGGCTCCCTGCACCTCCCTCCCACAGGCCACGCCCCTCTGAATCCACCGCCGTGGCGGACAGGCCGCTGTCTGCAGACGTACCCATCAGACTGAGGCTACACACTCTCCTCCTCCTCCTTCTCACTGTCTGCTGCTCTTCCTTCTCCTCCTCATCTTCTTCCCCCTCTTCTTCCTGCTGCTGCTCTTTGGTCCCGGCCCACCCTACCTGGACCTCCCGGTCCTCCTCCACAGGGAGGTGTCGGTCTGGGGGGGAGAGAGCGAGGGAGGTGTTCAGGCTGGTTTCTGCCCCCCCCTGCTCCTCTGTGCTGCTCTCGGAGGTGGTGGAGCTGCCCACTGACTTGGGCCTGGTGGGGCCTGGGGTGGAGCTGCCCACTGACTTGGGCCTGGTGGGGCCTGGGGTGGAGCTGCCCACTGACTTGGGCCTGGTGGGGCCTGGGGTGGAGCTGCCCACTGACTTGGGCCTGGTGGGGTTAGAGCCCTGTCCATCTGGTACAGCAGGCACAGGGATCTCCATGCTAGGGGTGACCTGGAAACGACCGACTGTGACGGCAGTAGGCGTTGGATCTGTGGGGTGGAGGAGGTTTATGATCAATATCAATACAGTGATAATAATTATTTTTCACAATCTGCTGTTTGTGTTTACATTCTGTTCCAGTAGTGATATTAATGTCCATTGATATTGACTCATGTACACTCAAATTGATTCAAATGCATATGTCGTCTCAATCTGAAATGTACTTGAAATGTCAAGTGTGCCGTTACACGGATCTACCGCTGATCAGATAGGATCCTGGCCTTAGTTTCATAACTTTCTGTCAGAAAACCAATCCAACTGCCATATCTACTGCCAACATCTGGTTGTGGTCGTGGTGCAGCCGAGGTCTGGCACTAGGTGTCACTCTACTTTACTGGCTTGGAAAGCAGTTTTCTTCTGCTGAATGTGGCCTTGGGACTTCTCAAAAACAGAGCCTGTTCTGTCTGTCTGTTGAGCGGGACGGGCTGGGTTGGGTTGCTCGGGGACCGGAGCAGGGCGGGGTGGGGGTATAAACACAGACAGGTGGGGAGGATGTGGGAGGAGAGGCCTGTAACGAGCGTGGAAGCCTTCTGATTGGTCAGTTCTGCTGGGTAAAGCTTCCCACTGGTTACACACTGGTTGAATCAACGTTTTTCCCACGTCATTTCAATGAAATTACGTTGAACCAATGTGTAATAGACGATGAATTGACGTCTGTACCCAGTGGGTTCTAACTGGTCAATACTGGTAGGCAGGGCTATAATCACACCTACCTAATGGTGCCTTATTCAATGGAACATTCCATCCAGACATGTGGTTACGCAACAGATCCCGAGGCACTGCTAGTGCTTATAGGTGATAATGTCACCAAACACTGATGTGGACAGGATAAAACACAAAACAGAACTGAAAACAACGGGAAGGGCCAATTGGCCCTAACACAGTCATCAGGCCTTATTTAGACCAAATACAACATAAAACACACTTGCATAATAGAGAAAGAGCCTCGTTGAGTGTCTGTGTATGTCTGGAGTGTGTGTGTTTTTGTATGTGTATGTGTCTGGGGTGTGTACTCTGTATTTGTTTAGTGTGCTAACAGAAGCAGCATAGGTCTGCCAGGGTCCTCCCCAACCCATCTCCTAACATCAACATATCAACAGTAAGCTTAGGTAAGGGCCAGTACAGTACAATACAGAATACAGCTAGAGTAGAAGTAGAGAGGGGAAAGTCACTGTGAATCTTACCTGTGTAACTGGGAGATAGTCTGGGCTTGGGAGCACTGGCGTTCATCTCAGGCACCATAGGTCTCGACATTGGTGTGGTTGAGCTGAACGATGATAACTTGGGAAAAAAGAAAAGTTGGGACATTATTTGTCAGAATGGCATTACTTCTCACTGTTAGACAGTCATGTATGAGCTGGTTGGTAACTTACTGTGCTCTCGGAGCTGTCTGGGGGCGAAGGGGACAGGTCAGACCCCGACACACAGCTGGACACATCAGACTGGTCCTGAGGAACAATGTAGGACCCCTCGGAACTATTCTGTAAATGGCTTAAGGGGCTGGAGGACGCTGCTTGCTGTGATACCATCTGTGGGTTCCTTGGTGGGCTGTTGTAGCCCATCGTAGGGGGAGATATGTGATTATGCTGCCAGCCGGGGTGGCCATTTTGATAGTACACAGACCCTGAGCCATCCCTTTGCATCTGTGGTGGAGAGTCTGGGCCCTGGTAGACACTGTGCTGCTGCCCTTGGCCAGGCCTCCCACCCTGGGTGTATGGGAGCTCCACTGGAGCAGTCTGGTAGTGGGGGGAGTAGGGGTGGGTTAGCTGGGGCTGGAAGCCTGCTATGGAGGGCATCCCCTGGTTGGCCAGGCTGTTGGCAGGGATGAAGGAGTGAGCCATGCTCATCGCCATGGAGATTACGTTGGCCAGGGAGAAGAGGGGCTGTGTGTGGGAGGGCCACATGTTGGGGTTCTGGGGGTGTGGAGGGAGGGACAGGGGGTTCCCCTCCCTGATGTACTCAGAGGGGCTCGGAGCGTCAGAGTTGGGGCCGCCGGGGGAGGCTGGGGCTGGGGAGGGGACGGAGGGGAACGTGGGGTTCCTGGCGACCCGTGTGAGGGGAGGATGGGAACCCGCTGGTTTTGGGGCGCCGGGGTTCACTGGGTAGGGGACGGGGAAGGGGAAGTGTGTGTGGCCCATGAAGGGGGGCATGTGGTAGTACTGCTGGTGTTGCTGCTGCTGGGGGTGGGGGTGCTCTGGGGAGTACATGGAGGCTGGGTGGTGGTGGTGGTAGTGAGGAGAACCTGGAACATAGAAACAAAACATGTTAGTTATTATTATTACATTCAAAACTTTTATTTCCTGAGAGGGAAGACACAAAACAACATAACATTACCTAACTCAGAAACACCACTTACAGTGAGGGAAAAAAGTATTTGATCCCCTGCTGATTTTGTACGTTTGCCCACTGACAAAGAAATGATCAGTCTATAATTTGAATGGTAGGTTTATTTGAACAGTGAAAGACAGAATAACGACAAAAAAATCCAGGAAAACGCATGTCAAAAATGTTATACATTGATTTGCATTTTAATGAGGGAAATAAGTATTTGACCCCCTCTCAATCAGAAAGATTTCTGGCTCCCAGGTGTCTTTTATACAGGTAACGAGCTGAGATTAGGAGCATACTCTTAAAGGGAGTGCTCCTAATCTCAGTTTGTTACCTGTATAAAAGACACCTGTCCACAGAAGCAATCAATCAATCAGAATCCAAACTCTCCACCATGGCCAAGACCAAAGAGCTCTCCAAGGATGTCAGGGACAAGATTGTAGACCTAC